ATTACAGAAACTAGAGGCAATCCACAGGAGATAATCAAAACTGCTTGTAATCCCTCTACCCACAGATAGCCCCCTTTATTTTTAGCTCATTCAACAACTGTGTATTTATTTTTTGAGACAGAGTCTCACTTTGCTGCCCAGGCTGGAGTGCAGTGGTGCGATCCCAGCTCACTGCAACCTCTGCCTCCTGGGTTCAAGCGATTCTCCTGCCTCAGCCTCCAGAGTAGCTGGGATTACAGGTGCTCACCACGCTGGGCTAATTTTTGTATTTTTATTTATTTATATTTTTGAAATGGAGTCTCCCTCTGTCTCCAGGCTGGAGTGCAATGGTGCGACCTTGGCTCATTACAACCTCCGCCTCCTGGGTTCAAGTGATTCTCATGCCTCAACCTCCCAAATAGCTGGAATTACAGGCATGCGCCACCAGACCTGGCTAATTTTTGTATTTTTAGTAGAGATGGGGTTTCACCATGTTGGCCAGGCTGGTCTCAAACTCCTGAGCTCAGGTGATCTTCCCACCTTGGCCTCCCAAAATGCTGGGATTACAGGCGTGAGCCACTGCACCCGGCCAGCAATGAAGAGGTTTGAACAGAGGAGAGACACAATATGCCTATGTTTTGAACAGGATCCCACAGGCTGCTGCATGAAATATACACAACCCGGGCGATGGAGGAAGCCAGGGGACATGAGAGGAGGCAGCCGCAGTGACACAGGTTGAGGACTCGCATGGGGAGGCAGGGTCGGATTCTGGATATACTTTGAATGAAGAGCCATCGGGCTTTCCTGTTGGTATATGCCTTTCCAGACTTTTAAAAATTACTGCTATTTTGGCCAGTTGCGGTGGCTTATGCCTGTAATCCCAGCACTTTGGGAGGATCATGAGGTCAGGAGATCAAGACCATCCTGGCTAACATGGCGAAACCCCGTCTCTACTAAAAATACAAAAAATTAGCTGCGGGTGGTGGTGGGTGCCTGTCGTCCCAGCTACTTGGGAGGCTGAGGCAGGAGAATCGCTTGAACCCGGGAGATGGAGGTTGCAGCGACCCGAGATCAAACCACTGCACTCCAGCCTGGGTGACAGAGACTCCATCTCAAAAAAAAAAAAAAAAAAAATTACTACTATTTTTATTCCCTCCAGGTAAGAAGCTTCCAGGCAGAGCAGTTTCTATCTGCGAGTCTGATGTTTCTGACCCAGCAGAGAAGCCGCCTCCACAGGCTCATCCCGCGTTTCTGTTCCTTTCTCATTCTAGGCACCTGGAGGGCCCCTGACGGCCTGGATTCTTCTCTTGCTAAATGTGGCTACTCCCTGCATTCGACTTCAGATGGTGACTTCATTTTTCGAGCTCAATACTCGGCCTGCTTTGTGGAGAAGGAGGTGGGTTTGGGAAACTTTTTTTTTTTTTTTTTTGAGACGGAGTTTCGCTCTTGTTACCCAGGCTGGAGTGCAATGGCGCGAACTCGGCTCACCGCAACCTCCGCCTCTTGGGTTCAGGCAATTCTCCTGCCTCAGCCTCCTGAGTAGCTGGGATTACAGGCACGCGCCACCATGCCCAGCTAGTTTTTTATATTTTTAGTAGAGACGGGGTTTCACCATGTTGACCAGGATGGTCTCGATCTCTCGACCTCGTGATCCACCCGCCTCAGCCTCCCAAAGTGCTGGGATTACAGGCTTGAGCCACCGCGCCCGGCTTTTTTTTTTTTTTTTTTTTTTTAAAGGAGATTTAAGGAGCTAAGCCTGAGCTCAGATGTGAAATAAGGAGACACTGCATTATTATTCCTCTGTAGAAACTGAGCTGAGGGAGACCAGAAGTCTCTGCCCTTATGGAGTTTATGGGCATGGATCTCAAAAGGCTGCCCAGCTCAGATGCTGCCTCTTCCAGGCAGTCCTCCTGAGAATCCCCCCTTCTCTGTGCAGAGGACCTGCTTCTATCATTGCTAACACTGACTCACAATGTTGCCTATTCACACACCATCTCCTGCCTCCTGCTAGACCTGGAGTCTCTGGGGAGAGGGAGTCACACCCACAGGCTTCCCCCAGGGCCTGGCACATAGTAGGTACTTAATTAAGTGATTAAATGGAGCTGAGGAGTTGCAGAGGTTGACTGACAGCGCTCACTTGCACAGGCCTGTTATGGGCTCACAAGACCATAAATTTACAGAAGTAAAATTTTTTTTTTTTTTCTTTTTTGAGACAGACGCTTGCTCTGTCACCCAGGCTGGAGCACAGCGATGCAATCTTGGCCTACTGCAACCTCTGCCTCCCAGGTTCAAGCAATTCTCCTGCCTCAGCCTTCCGAGTAGCTGGGATTACAGGCATGTGGCACCATGCTCAGCCAATTTTTAAATATTTTTTAGTAGAGGCGGGGTTTCACCATGTTGGCCAGGCTGGTCTTGAGCTTCTGACCTCAAGTGATACGCTACGTCCAGTTAATTTTTGTATTTTTTCGTAGAAGACGGGGTTTCACCATGTTGCCCAGGCTGGTCTGGAACTCCCAGGCATAAGCCATCTTCCCACCTCGGTTTCCCAGTGAGTTGAGATTAAAGGCAAGAGCTACCGTGCCTGGCATTCTTGTTACTGAAATTTCACTCCAGGGGGAGTGTCCCCTGCAAGGGGACAACCAGCCCTGCAGTTTGGCTCACAGTTTTGTTTTGTTTTTTTCTTGTCTTTTCTTCCCTACCTCCACTTCCCATTTTCTTCTTTTAGTTTAGTTTTTTTTTTTTGAGATGGAGTTTCACTCTTGCTGCTCAGGCTAAAATGAGTGCAATGGTGTGAGCTCAGCTCACTGTGACCTCCGCCTCCCAGGTTCAAGTGATTCTCCTGCCTCAGCCTCCTGGGTAGCTGGGATTACAGGCGTGCACCACCATGCCAGCTACTTTTGGGTTTTTAGGGATTTCTCCAGGTTGGACAGGTTAGTCTCGAACTCCCAACCTCAGGCGATCTGCCTGCCTTGGCCTCCCAAAGCGCTGGGATTACAGGCGTGAGCCACTGCACCTGGACGCCTTCATTTCTTTGTCCTCCCTTTCTTGACCCTGTTCAGAGTTTTTTCCCAAGTGGGGCTGTGGTCTGGAGTGGGGGAGGAATTTCGGGAACTACCCCGCTCCTCCTCTTTCCCTTCCTCTCTGTGGTCACGCTTCTCTGACAGCCCCGTGAACACCCGCCCTTCTCGGGCCCCACCACGAAGCTTCGACTTGGGTTCTTGTGTAGGTGACTGAGGGCAACCCAGGATGGGTGGAGGGACCCATTGGTTTGACATCTTTGAAGTCCGCCTTGTACTGGAATGAGCTAGACCAGCTCTCACAGCTAGTCTCAGAAATGGCCACATGCCTTTGGCTTTGTAATTTACCTTCTCTAAGCCTCAACTTCCTCCTCTGTAAAATGGGGATTTTATGTCTCATAAACCCAGCCTTGGCCGGGCGCGGTGGCTCACGCCTGTAATCCCAGCACTTTGGGAGGCCGAGGTGGGTGGATCACTTGAGATCAGGAGTTCAAAACCAGCCTGGCCAACATGGTGAAACTCCGTCTCTACTAAAAATACAAAAATTAGCTGGGCATTGTGGTACATGCCTGTGATTCCAGCTGCTTGGGAGGCTGAGGCACAAGAATCCCTCCACCTCCTGGAGCTGGAGGTTTCGGTGAGCTGAGATTGGGCTGAGATCGATCACTCCAGCCTGGATGACTGAGTGAGACACATCTCAACAACAAAGAAGCCCAGCCTTATGAGACATTGGTGAGGGCCAAAGGAGATAAAGTGTGAACGAATGGTTTGTCAGCTGTCAAAGGACACTGGGACGCAAGCTCTTATTCTCTCTGACTAGGTTCATATTTCCCCAAATCTACAAATGCTCCCCAGCCTGGAGGGCTTCATTGGTGGGGGCCGAACTTACAGAGCTGGACCCAGGCTCTGAGTTGCTGTCTACCTTGGCCTCATTTCCCATCCCACTTCCACAAGCCCACCTTCTAGGAGGTTCATGGTACCCTATTTGCTGTGAACAGGAACTGACCTATAATTGCAGCCTACTAACTGTATTTTCCTCTCTCATTTGCACACATGAATTTTGCCCTACTTCCAGAAAGCAAATTACAGGCTGGAAATCAGAATATTTCAGAAAGGGGTGATGAGGTTGGAGCGGAGTGATCGCTACATAATGAAGTGTCCAGTGCTAAGGTCAAGGCTGGGCCAGGAAAGCGTCCACTGCAGGCCCGGGTTCATCCAGGTAACGGGTTCAGAAGGTCCGGGAGGTGGCAGAGGGGCCACCCAGGCTGGGCTTCTCTCTAAAGGCCAAGGCAGGTAGCTCTGGCTCCTGTACTACTGGCTGTGGCCTGGGGACACAGGTGGTAGCTAGAGGTACAGTGTGGCATCGTTCTCCCGGACCATCCCTGGGTACTGGCTGGGTGCCAGGTCTGCTGGGTTTGGTTCTGAGCAAGGAGGGGTGAGACGATGGGAAGGTAGGGGGAGATTAAACGCCTCTGACCTCGGGTTCTGGATTTCCCATCTTGGTTGGCTCACGGGGGCCACTTGGGTTATCACCAAAGCTGCAACATTGCACCGTTGTGTTCTTTCTCTCTGGATTGGAAACATTTGCTAGTTTGGATGCTTTTTTTTTTTTTTTTTTTGACCTCAGTAATGTCAAAGAGTTACAGACCTCAGGTATGATCAGGTGCAATGTTTATATCTTAAACATCAGGGAAGGAAGGTTGAGCCCCAGATCCAACTGTGAGCTCGTTTATGGCCTTGCGGGCTCCTTGAATTCAAGTTTCTCTCTACCTCTCATCAGAGGGGCACCTCTTTAAGCTAAATAGGATTTGGGTGGGAGACGTTTGGAAACCCTAACATCTACAGGGACCAAACCCGCCATAGAAATGAGTATGCTGGACTGAGGAGGCAGTAAAGAATTTTACTCATTCCTTCATTTAGTCAGCTGCTTTTTTGTTTGTGATGGAGTGTTTCTCTGTCACCCAGGCTGGAGAGCAGTGAGTGATCTCGGCTCTCTGCAACCTCCACCTCCTGGGTTCAAGTGATTCTCCTGCCTCAGGCTGGAGATTACAGGTGTGTGCCACCGTGCCCAGCTAATTTTTGTATTTTTAGTAGAGACAGAGTTTCACCCTGTTGGCCAGGCTGCTCTCAAACTCCTGACCTCAAATGATCCACCCTCCTCAGCCTCCCAAAGTGTTGGGATTATGAGTGGGAGCCACCAGATGTTCTTTTAAAGAGACGGGATCTTGCTCTGTCACCCAGGCTCACTGTAGCTTTGACCTCCTGGGCTTAAGGGATCCTCTCACTTCAGCCCCACGAGTCGCTGGGACTAGAGGCATATGACACCATGCTTAGCTAATGTTTGAATTTTTTGTAGAGACAGAGTCTCACTATGTTGCCCAGGCTGGTCTCGAACTCCTGGCTTCAAGTGAGCCTCTCATTTTGTCCTCTCAAAGCTCTGGGATTATAGGCATGGGCCACTACACCTGGTCCAGCAAACACTTGCTTAAGGCTCATTCCATGCTGGGCACTGTTCTACTCACTTTGCAAATATTAACTCATCTCACCTTCGTGGCGATTCTATGTAATTGGTCCTATATTGATCGCCATTCTGCAGGTGAGAGAACTAAGCAGAGAGAGACGAGGAGGCTTGCCCGCTGGTAGCAACAGCGCTGGGCTTTGAGCCAGCCACGTGGTGGGGGCTGCGGCACGCTGGAACAGGCACAAGCTCCCGTCCCGGCCCCCCCACAGAGGGAGCTGAGGCTGGACTCCACTCCAGCCCCATTTTGCCAGATTTTCCAACATTTCAAGGTAGACTGGAAATCTGTAACTGTATGTGAAATCCTCAAGTTTAGAAAAGTTAACTTTAATTTTGTAGGCACGGTAATGGCTCAAACAAAGTGCCGGCTTTGGCCTGAGGGATTTGGGTGGCATCTTCTGTCTGTGAGGAGGAGGAGGGGGGAAGAGAAAGGAGAGGAAGGTGGAAAGGAGAGGAGGAGGCTGGAGTGGAAAGGCTGCTGACGACAAACACCATTTATCCAACAAGCATTTACTTCTTTATTTAGAGACGGAGTCTCGCTCTTTCGCCCAGGCTGGCGTGCCATGGCATGATCTCAGCTCACTACAACCTCTGCCTCCTGGGTTCAAGCGATTCTCATGGAATCACAGGCACGCGCCACCACACCCAGCTAATTTTTTTTGTATTTTTAGGAGAGTTGGGGTTTCACCCTTTTAGCCAGGCTGGTCTCAAACTCCTGACCTCAACTGATCCGCCTGCCTTGGCCTGCCAAAATGCTAGAATTACAGGCACGAGCCACCATGCCTGGCCCTAACAAGCATTTATTGATCACCTATTATATGCCCAGCCCTGTGCTGCTGCTTAGGGAACAGATATGACCAAGACGTGACATCCCAGAAAGACCTTACGGCTTTCTTCTCATCTGGTCTGAACTTCAAAAACGAATGTGCTGTGGCCCCTGCCCCACCCCCAGCTCAGAAGACCTGGGCCCGTCTCCACTGTGAGCTCCACTAACTGCCATGTTGGGCTTTATGAAGTTCCTTTGCTTCTCAACCTGAAGGAGCAGGGTCTGAGTGGGAGGAGCTTCTTCTGTCTACCTGCTGTTTTCTTCTTCTTCTTTCAGACAGAGTTTCTGTTTGTCGTCTAGGATGGAGTGCAGTGGTGAGATCTTGGCTCACTGCAACCTCTGCCTCCCGAGTTCAAGCGATTCTTCTGCCTCAGCCTCCCAATTAGCTGGGACTACAGGCAGGTGCCACCACGCCTGGCTAATTTTTTGTATTTTAGTCGAGACGGAGTTTCACCATATTTGTCTGGCTGGTCTCGAACTCCTGACCTCGTGATCCACCCACCTCGGCCTCCCAAAGTGCTGGGATTACAGGCGTGAGCCACTGCGCCCGGCCCCACCTGTTTTTATTAAGGGCTCAGAGTGGCCACGACAAAGCCCCTGTTAGTGAGCCTAAGAATTGCCAGGCCCCACCCCAGGACCCCAAGCAGGGCTGCCAGGGCACCTGTTTGACATTTCGGGGCTCATCTCTGCTCCCTCTGCACTGGGCCTGTGATTCTGGAAGCTGCCGCCAGGGGGATGGTGTGGCTGGCGTCACGCGAAACTGGGCCGAATTGCTGAGAATAGCAGAAACTACTCCTCGCCCGCTTGGGTGCCCGCCTGGCCTCCATTATCTGGCCTTCGAACCCCTGATGTCCCAATGCCTTAGTCCCCGGCATCCTTCACTGACTGAAGTGTGGGAGCAGATGGGGGGGGGCTCTGCATCCCTGAACAGGGACTCACAGAGGGGGGCAGCACACAGGGACAGAGGCAGGTCTCTGCTGCCCCCACCTCCCCTCCAGCCCCTTCCCCCATCCGAGAACCTCATCGAATTGACTGATTCATTCCTGGTGACTTCTGCAGCCGCCACTTCCGTGGCTGCACCTTGAACTTGCATTAAGTTTTAATTAAAGCCGTTTCACCGGCCTTGCCCTTGGCTAAATGCAGCTGTGGGCACAGGGCACATAGATATTTAATACTCTGCCTCTCCCCACTGATGGCGCAGGGTGCCCAAGGGTGTACCCGAGCCATGCCCTGCTCACAGCGATCTGCGAGCTCGCTTAAGTGTGCCCACAGGCCCCGAGCGGGAGGCTGCGCAATAACTATTCATTGCCCTGGGTTAAGTGTGCCCAGGGGCACCAGTAAGCTCAATGCAGTGATTAGCGATTGCTCCCAGCGAAGGCTGCCGCTCCTGCGCAGTGTCCGAGGGCCCTAAATATAGTCTCCTCATGGCGACTTAAAGGGCACGCTGCATTTTGGCTGCGCACTTGTCATGTCTTCCCTTCCTTCCTTTTTTTTTTTTTTTTTTTTTTTGGAAACAGAGTCTCACTCTGGCCAGAGTTGCCCAGGCTGGAGTGAAGGATGTGATCTCAGCTCGCTGCAGCTTCCGCCTCCCAGGTTCAAGCAAATCTCGTGCCTCAGCCTCCCGAGTAGCTGGGACTACAGGTGCCTGCCACCATGCCCGGCTAATTTTATTTTGCATTTTTAGTAGAGATGGGGTTTCACCATGTTGCCCAGGCTGGTCTCGAACTCCTGAGCTCAGGTGGTCTGTCCGCCTCAGCCTGCCACAGTGCTGGGATTCCAGGCTTGAGCCACTGTGCCTGGCCTTCCCTTCCTTCTTTTAGTAGAATTGCTTCCTTCCTTCTTACAGCCCGGCGTCCCGGGGCCTCTCTGCCTTCCTCCCGGCTGCAGCAGGTGGGATGGGCTGGAACACCGTGGCTCAGCTTTGGGGGTGTCGGGGAATTGCCACATCCTCTTCATTCTCCTGCCAGCCCTTGCGGATGCATTCTCTGTTTCTTCCACTTTGCTTCCCAAGGGAAGGCCGACCCTCTAAAAGCAAGTCCATCGCAGGCCTCACCCGAGGGGCTCCCCGCGGGCTGTCCTGAGCCTGCTGCCAACATGGGCTCTCTGGGGCCAAGGGACAGCTGAGCTAGGGATCTGGGAAGGCTGCATGGCAGTGGGGGGGCGCCTCCTCTTAGCCCCGCCCACTCTTTTCTGCTCCCGGGAGCTCCTCTCTGTCCCTGGGAAGAAGGGGTGGGGAGCCTTGGCTGGGGGAGCTGTCAAGATGAGTCAGTGCGCTCTGGCCCCAGTCTCCTCATTCCGTATGGGGTAGGAGAAGGGGTCTGGTGGTCTCTGAGGGACCCTCTGCTGGTCTGTGACTCTGTCCAGTGCCACAACCCCCTTGCCTAGGCCTGACGCAAAGGCAAAGGGGCATTTGGAGAAAGGAGAGAGACCTGGCCGGGCGCGGTGGCTCACGCCTGTGATCCCAGCACTTTGGGAGGCTGAGGCGGGTGGATCACAAGGTCAGGAGATCGAGACCATCCTGGCTAACACGATGAAACCCTGTCTCTACTAAAAATACAAAAAATTAGCTGGGCATGGTGGCACATGCCTGCAGTCCCAGCTAGTCGGCAGGAGAACTGCTTGAACCTGGGAGGTGGAGGTTGCAGTGAGCCGAGATCATCCCACTGCACTCCAGCCTGGGCGACAGAGCGAGACTCCATCTCAAAAGAAAAGAAAAGGAAAGAAAGAAAAAAGAAAGTAGAGAGACTTGAGAGAACAGCTGGGTGGGCGGCACTGGCTGCAGAGGCGTTTTGGGGAAGGTCGCTTACCCACGCCATCACCTTGGGCCCTGGTCTGTGAAATGGGGGAACGATGCCACCCTTCGGAATGGTGGTGAGACTCAGGCGCAGTAGGAGTAACCACTGTCTCGGTTTGCCTGGGCCTGCCTCAGTTTCACCACTGAAAACCTGAAATCAGGGGAACCTCCCATTCCTGGGGAACTGGGATCGTTGGTCCCTCCAAGAACAGTGCCATCAGCAGGCACAGGTGCACCCTCTGGGCCTGGAGAAGTCCTCGCTCTTTACTTTTGCTAGTTGGATCCAGAGTGGAAAGCAAAAACGGTGAGGAAGAAATTGGGACTGAGGGAGAAAAACAAGAAAGAGGCCCGGGAAACAGCCCCAGTGGACGTGGGCTCCAAACAGGGCTGGTCCCATGCCCATCGGCTCTTGGCCTCACCAGCTGTGCCCGGGACCCCAGCCGCCCCCTTGGCCAGGCCCAGGGTGGCAGCTGAGGCGGCGGCACATTTCCCTCCATCTGTTGACACTCGAGTCCCAGAACATAAATGATTTTCTTGTCTTAATGAGCAAACAGCCCGGCGGCACCGCTCTCTCGCTGGCCTCCTGCTGGGGTAATCGCAGGCACCGATGCGCGCAGGCAGGGATGTTTGCTCACCTTTGCTCACGGTGTGCAGGAGCTGTTGCTTCCTCTCTGTCTCTGCAGGTCTCCCGGCCTCTGCCCCTGCCGAGTGACCAAGGACAGGTAGGTGGGCCCCGTTAGAGTAGCAGGAGCAACTCTTTTCTGGAAGTTTCTGCCAGGCCTGGCGGGCACTTGGGCTGCTCTGAGGCAGCTTTTGAGGTCGCTTGTCTCCCAGAGAGTGTCGTGGATGGCATGGACTCTTCAGGGACCAGGTCTTGCCAGCTGAAGTCTGAAGCACCCACCGGTGCCCTCCAGGCAGAGGCCTGAGGCCATCTGGGAAGAATCTTGAAGAGGGGACCCCGGCTTTGGGTGGGAGGCTAGGTTGGAAGGCTCTGAGGTCCTTCCCACGCTAAGATTCTCTCTGCCAAGTCTCCAGTGACAGGGAGCTTGTTCCTTTGTAAGGCTAGACGTTCCACGATGCACAGTTGTTTCCCGAATTTTCCTTCTGCTGGTCCACGGAGTGTTTTCCGCAGCCTCCTGGAAGGAGCCGGTCCCTCTTCTCCATTTCACATCCCTTTGAGCGTTTGGGGTCAGTGAGTTGACCTCCCCACGTCTTCCTGATGTCCCCCTGCCAGTCCTCCTGAGGTGGGAGCTGGGGACCCTTCCCTGCCCCCTCCCCCCATCAGACACTCACCTTTATCCAAGGCCCTGATACCCATGTCCCACTAAAGGGTGGCAAATGGAGCCAAGGACAGGACTCTAGTTGTGCCCAGCCAAGGTGGCATATGGGCTGACTGGCTGGCATTGCTGCTGGGGTAACTGTGTGTTCGTTCTTTCAGCCTCGTTGTACACCTACTGTGTGCCAAGCACCCCTGCAAGGGACCTACTCCCCTAAAGTAAAGGGTGCTAGTGTCTGGTTGACTCTCCTCCCCGAGTGGCCGCCACCCTGCCTCCTGGCCCAGCCCCTCTTCCCCATGACCGTTACCTTCCTACGTCTCCCCTCAAGCGTCCCTTCTCCATGACCTCCAGAGACCATGCCTCCCTGATCACATGATTTGCGAACATGTCCTGTTTCTCCAGACTCCATGGCTGCTGTCCCTTCGAGGGGAGCTGGTGGCTTCTCTTGAAGACGCCAGCCTGATGGGACTGTATGTGGACATCAACGCCACCACTGTCACCGTCCAAAGCCCGAGACAAGACCTTCTTCAGAGGTGGGAGGTCAGTGGGGGGCAGCAGGTCCTGCCAGGCAGTGGGGGGCCTCGGGGGCATAACACCCAGAAGAGCAGGCCACCCCTCCAGTGTCAAGTCAAATGTCCGCCTGCGAGACTGGGCAGATTTAGGCAGGCGCCTTCGAAAATTGGGCCCTATTAGTGTAAAGTGCTCCGCTCTGCAGATGAGGGGCTCCTGCAATCACGCATTCAGCTCGTCCTGATCCTGGTGGCAGGAGCGTAATTACCAATTCTTTAAATAGCCCAAAGTTGCCGTGTAAGAGAAGATGGCTCACATGACATTTGCTCCGAGCTCGCTTCCTGCTAAAAATATCTCGGCGAAATAATATTTCCTGGTTGCATCCGCGCAAGAGTCCCTGATCTGGGCTTTGTAACACTTGGGGTTTTAGTTCAGAGACGAGTTCGAAGGTGGGAGGGGGGCCCCGGTGGAGGGAGTTTGCATCTGGAAGGAGCAGTTTTGGAGACCTCAGGGGAGACTCTCCTGCCTCCCAGGTGCTGAACACCACCGCTGAGCTCCTGCCACTCTGGCTGCTGAGAGGTCACCATGCCTATTCTTTAGAAGCCGCTTGCCCACCTGGTAAGACCCAGGAGTGTCCCCGATGCCACCGTTCCGACTCATTACATTCTGGTCCCTATTTTCCCCCTTCTGTGGGGACCTTCTTCCCCTCTGTCTGACCCCACCTCTCCTCTCTTCAGTCCCAATCTTGGCTGTGCATTTCTGAAATGCTTGGGATAAAGGGAAGTTTGCTCTTGCTGGAAGGGGCTGGGATATGTGTGTGTGGAGTAGGGGTGGGATGTGAGGTGAACGAAGAGTAAAATCGTCTCCTACAGACCTGCAGACCGGATCTGTAAACTCTTGGGAGCTCCCAGGCTGGCGCCAGGGGTTCTGAGAACGGAAACGGGAGAGAGCCTGCAGCCTGGTCACACCCTCCTGGCTTCGTGATCTGAGGGCAGTGGGGACCCCTGATCTAGACCATGTATGTGAGAACTATTTTGTTCAGCCTGGGGTGACACCGTTGCCCTGGGTCTTATATAAAGAGGTCTGGAAGCTGGAAGGCCACTTCCTACCTCTGGAGAATTTAAATTCAAAGAACTTGGTGTGCAAATTTAGGTAGATCAAAGGCTTCATCCTGTGTGAGTAGATTAGAGGTGGTTTAGGTTTTCGTTTTTTTTTTTTTTTTTGAGACAGAGTCTCGAACTGTGGCCCAGGCTGGAGTTCAGCGGCGCGATCTCGGCTCAGTGCAATTCTCCTGCCTCAGCTTCCCGAGTAGCTGGGACTGCAGGTGTGAGCCACCACGCCCAGCTAATTTTTTTTTTTTTTTTTAGTAGAGGCGGGGTTTCACCATGTTGGCCAGGATGGTCTTGATCTCCTGACCTCGTGATCCACCCACCTCGGCCTCCCAAAGTGCTGGGATGACAGGCCTGAGCCACCGCACCTGGCCTAGGCTTTCATTTTGTATGGAATTGTCTCACGGACTGAGTTTCAGGACTGAGTTTCAGGATCAGAGCTCCGGGGATTTCCCGGCAGTGGCGATGACCGTGATGAGCCCCCAAACACAGCTTTCCCTGCTCACGGTGTTTCAAATCCCTTCATACAAAGGCAGATGCTTCCATTTAGTAACTGCAGAGCTGGCTTAAAATGTCCCCCCAGAGCCTGACACAGTGAAATTCTTGCTGTAATGTAAACAACTGATAGAGTCTTCTTTATTTATTTATTTATTTATTTTTGAGATGGAGTTTCACTCTTTTGGCCCAGGCTGGAGTGCAGTGGTATGATCACGGCTCACTGCAACCTCCACCTCCTGGGTTTAAGTGATTCTCCTCCCTCAGCCTTCTGAGTAGCTGGGATTACAGGTGTCTGCTACCACGCCCAGCTAATTTTTTGTATTTTTAGTAGAGATTGGGTTTCACCACGTAGGCCAGGCTGGTCTCAAAATCCTGACCTTAGGTTATCCACCTGCCTCGACCTCCCAAAGTGCTGGGATTGTAGTCGTGAACTACTGTCCCTGGCCTAGAAGCTGTATTTCTTTTTCTTCTTTCCTTCCTTCCTTTTTTCTTTCTTTCTTTTTTTTTTTTTTTTTTTTTTTTTGAGACGGAGTTTCGCTCTTGTTACCCAGGCTGGAGTGCAATGGCGCGATCTCGGCTCACCGCAACCTCCGCCTCCTGGGTTCAGGCAATTCTCCTGCCTCAGCCTCCATGGGATTACAGGCACGCGCCACCATGCCCAGCTAATTTTTTGTATTTTTAGTAGAGACGGGGTTTCATCATGTTGGCCAGGATGGTCTCGATCTCTCGACCTCGTGATCCGCCTGCCTCGGCCTCCCAAAGTGCTGGGATTACAGGCTTGAGCCACCGCGCCCGGCCTAGGAGCCGTATTTCTTAAGAGCTGCTTTGGAAATAGAGGGGGCGCTGGGCTAGGTCACTGAAGCTGAAGACGGTCTCAGTAAAGACATTTCTGCAGCTTCCCTGCTGGCATCTGCTTCCTGAGGGGCCTTTGCACTGCTTCCATCAGGTGTTTGGAGATGGCCTTTTTTTCTTCTCTCCTTCATCCATGCAGCTACGTTTCAGCACAGGCAGTGACACCAGGACACCAAGTAACTTGTTGTCACTGACTCAGGGTGTGCTGTGCTGGCTCCAGGTGTGGTCCCTGGCGAAGGCCCACCACCGCTTACCCGTCCACGAGCCTGCAAAGGTGTCTTTTTCTGTGCCCTGTGTCCTTCCTATTCCAGTGTCATCGCAGCCAGAGTCGGAGGTCTTAGTTCACATCCCCAAGCAGAGACTGGGTCTGGTCAAAAGAGGTTCCTACACTGAGGAAACCCTGAGCCTCCAGTTCCTCCGGGTTCGCCAGTCCAACACCTTCATGGTGACGGAAAACAAGGGCTTTGTGGTGGTCAGTATCCCAGCGGCCAGGGTGCTCCAAGTCCAGGTGAGTATCTGGTGGCATCTCTGTCTTGTCCCTTCTTTTCCCGAGACCCTTCTCCTTAGGCCACCGATGCCATGTGTGGTCAGATACGTGGAGGGTAGACCCGTCACGGTAGCTCAGGCCTGTAATCCCAGCACTTTGGGAGGCCGAGGTGGGAGGGTCACTTGAGCCCAGGAGTTCAAGACCAGCCTGAGACCCCATTGCTACAAAAAAAATTAAAAATGAGGTGCGAGGATTGCTTGAGCTTAGGGGGTCGAGGCTGCAATGAGCTGTAATTGTGCCACTGCACTCCTGCCTAGGCAATGGGAGGGAGACCCTGTCTCAAAAAATAAAAATAAAAAAGAAAGAAACGTGGAGGGCAGATCTGCAGCTCTGGCTGAAAACGGATTTCACCACGTTTGCCCCTCAGGCCCATACTCTTACCAAGGCAGCCCTATCAGGGGCAGCCACAGGGAGTGGGATGCCACCTGCCATGTGAAACTAATTTCTTTACTTTTTTTTGAGACAGAGTCTCGCTCTGTCACCCAGGCTGGAGTGCAGTGGTGCGATCTTGGCTCACTGCAATCTCCGCCTCCCAGGTTCAAGCGATTCTCCTGCCTCAGCCTCCTGAGGAACTGGGATTACAGGCGCGGGCCACCACGCCCGGCTAATTTTTTGTATTTTTAGTGGAGATGAGATTTCACTGTGTTAGCCAGGATGGTCTCCATCTCCTGACCTCGTGAGCTGCCCGCCTCGGCCTCCCAAAGTGCTGGGATCACAGGCATAAGCCACCGCGGCCGGCCAATGTGCAACTGATTTCTTGTGGCCTCACAGCAATGCCGGAAAGTTGGAGGAACCCTGGGAACACAAGCTTTCTATAGGATAGACCTGAGCCTGGAATTTGCCGAGATGGCTGCCCCAGTCCTCTGGACGGTGGAGAGCTTCTTCCAGTGCGTGGGTGAGTGAGCCACCAAGCGGGTGTGACCGCCGGTAACATAACGGGCACACACTGCACAAACCCTCTTTCCTTGACCCCGGGGTTCTTTCTTCTGCGACAATGTTTCACTCCCTGGGCCCGACAGGTCCCACACCTACAAGGTAAGTGAGGTGTCAGACATGCTGGCTGGAACTGGCAGGGTCAGGAAAACTGAGTGGCAATGTGGTTTCTGGCCCTGGAGTCTGCCAGAGAGGGGACCCGGGAGGTGGGTGGGGTGCATCCATTTCCTAACCACCTGCACCACCTCCGTGAGTTCCTTAACCATGTTGAGACTCAATTTTCCCATCTGGAAAATAGGCATGCAGTACCTGTTTTGAGGATTGAATGAGATGAGGGGAATGAATGGCTTAGAAGAGTGAGCGCCTGGTGCAGAGGAGATGTTTCTATTTACTCACTCTGCGTGGGCTCCAGTTCCTCGGGTCACTTGGTAGACAGATCAGTGCCCTTGGCAAAGAGCGCGACACGATGCAACTTTTTTTCTCAGCTCGAGAGGAACCTTCTTCTAAACGTGGTATGCGCCTTCATGCCAGAATGCTGGGATGGGGTTTTTGGCGAAAGTTCCACTAACGGACAACCTGGTATTCACACATGCAAACCCACCAGGAGCAAAACCCATTGAAATACAGCACAAGGAAATACACATAATTCACAAATGATGTCGATCACTTTCATCTTATACTTCCTAACTGTCCTCAATCGAAGACAGACGCGAAGGAGATTTGACTCAGATGTTAATAGTGCAAGTATGCCCTGTTAGCAGGATATGATGTTTCGGGGCTGCATAAAAATGTAATTATATTCAGAACTATATTTAAAGATTAAAAGGGGGACTGCCTACCACAGCTAGCCCCAAATTCAGAATTAGAAACAAAGAAAAAGGCGGGATGGGGGGGTGAGTTCTGACAGTCTGCTAAAAATGGAAATGTTTCTTGAAAGTTTTTACACATTTCGGCTGTTTTTATTTTAACAGTTTCCTGCAGCAATGACATTGATCTTGGAAAGGGAGGGCTAGAACGTTATCCAACAAATATTCACTAGGCAGTTGTGGTGTGTGAGGCCCCACGCAAGGCTTAGGTGGGAACAGAGGCTGCTGGATTTGGTTCTTGCTCTTAATCAGCATCCAGCCTGATTTAGGGGATAAGAAATGCCCAGATAAGATTAAGGGGATAAGAAATGCCCAGAGAAAGGCCAGGCATGGTAGCGCACACCTGTAACCCCAGCACTTTGGGAGGCCAAGGTGGGAGGATTATCTGAGGTTAGGAGTTCGAGACCAGCCTGGCTAACACAGTGAAACCCCGTTTCTACTAAAAATACAAAAATTAAGCCAGGTGCAGTGACTCATGCTTGTAATCCCACACTTTGGGAGGCCGAGGCAGGAGGATCACTAGAGGTCAGGAGTTTGAGATTAGCCTGGACAACATGGCGAAACCCTGTCTCTACTGAAAATACAAAAATTAGCTGGGTGTGGTGGTGCACACCTCTTATCCCAGCTACTTGGGAGGCTGAGGTAGGAGAATCACTTGCACCCGGGAGGTGGAAGTTGCAGTGAGCTGAGATCATGCCACTGCATTCCAGCCTGGGCGACAGAGCGAGACTAGTCTCAAAGCAAAAACAAAAAATAACAAAAAAGAAACGCCCAGAAAATTATGAGGGCAGGTGGACTCAGGAGAGATGCCAGAGAGTAGATGATCTTTATCCTGGGTTTTGCTGAGAGGGGAGGTCCTTGATAGGAAGGTACGGAATACAATGTATAAATAGATCAGCAACAGCAATAGAAATATTTTAGGAAGAGTTTTTTGGCCTTTCTGGAAAGATTTACACGGGAAAGAATTCTCTCTTTCTCATTTGGTTAATTTAACATCAGCCAGCAGAATGAACCTCTCCCCTCCCTGGTTCCCGGCACGCCTCTCCTGCAGCCTCCCTCAGCTTTGAGGTCTTTCTGTTCTTATTATAGTTACGGGCGCATGCTCCTGTCTCTTCCTCTGGCATGAATTCCTTCAGATCAGGGGCTGTGCCCTGTTCCCCTTCCTGTTCCTGATGGGCCTTATCTTGCCTTCTTGCCCTTGGGAAGCATGTCAGAAATGCTTGTTGGCTTGAATTTTCACCAGGAATTTAAAAAACTGTTTTACACAGATAGCAATTTTCTTTCGTAAATGTGTGACTAGTGTGTTGGAATATTAGTATGCTGGAATTGCCTGAACTCCCCGCAGTTAGAGATTTTGAACAAATCTTCCTCCTCCCTGATCTCATAAGTAACTAGAACCTATGGGACAAATTCTAATTATTTAAATGTCTGGTCTGGAAAAATCTAGGACTCCAGGTGGGAGGTCTGTGAAATTCAGCCAATGGACATTTCCCAACCCAGGGCTCAAATCTGACCTCTCCAAGCTTCCATTGCCCACCTGTGGAAAGGGGTCACTCACGGTCTCTTCAGTAGGGTGTTGGGAGGATTTTGCTTCCTTAGGAGGAAGGCTGACTTCTATCTTCTCTCTGGAAGGTTCAGGAACAGAGTCGCCTGCCTCAACTGCCACACAGAGCACCACTCTCTCCCCACCATCCCCAGGACCAGAGACCCCTCCAGTGGGAGCGCCATCTGCTACCGCCTCCCAGGTGCGGGCTGCAGGACCAGCTGCCCAAGAATGGCTTCCTCGGGAATTCCCACACCAGCCTTCTGATGAGCCGGCCAAGGCAAGTCCATGGCTGCGTCCTCTGCCCACGGTTTCCTCCAAAGGGTCGGGTCCCCATAGGTATTGGTAGATCCAGCTGAGCCTGAGGCCCCTCTCTTTCATCACCATTCTTCCAAAGAGAGCCTCACTCTGATCCCCAACCATGTCACCTCCTTGAATTCAGAATGTTTCCCAGAGAAAGCTGGGTTCCCAAGAGCCCCCGCCTGAGGGCAACCCCCCTCATCGGTGGGTCTGGATCGCAGCAGCCTCCCAGGGCATTGAGATACAGCTAAAGGAGGCAGCCGGAGGGGGGTCAGCCACTATGCACACCAACGGAGAGAGGGAAACTGAGGCACACCAGAGGACTGGAGACCCAGAGGTCACAGCTTCTTCCAGCTCTTCTTTTATTTATTTATTTATTTTTTTGAGACAGAGTCTCGCTCTGTTGCTTAGGCTGGAGTGCAGTGGCATGATCTTGGTTCACTGCCAGCTCAGCCTCCACCTCCCAGATTCAGGAGATCCTCCTGCCTCCGCCTCCCGAGTAGTAGCTGGGATGAGAGGTGCAAGCCACCACACCTGGCTAATTTTGTATTTTTAGTAGAGATGGGGTTTCACCATGTTGGCCAGGCTGGTCTCGAACTTTGACCTCAAGTGATCCACCTGCCTCAGCCTCCTATTGTGCTGGGAGACATGAGCCATCGCACCTGGCCTCTCAAACCCATCTTTGGGCTGAGATCTTCAGAGCAGCCGGAGCCCATGTGCTCTGTTTCTGATGCCTTTTCTCTCTCCACTTCTCTCTCTCCAAGAAGGGGCTTGGACCGTTCCTACAAACGGCCAAACCTGCGAGGAGAAGCCAGACATCTGTCTCCATTTTCCCCAGAGTGATGCAAGCTCAGCAAGGTCTCCAGACTCCTCCAGGGGAAGCAGTGCTTCCTGGACACCCCACGCCTCCAGCCACGCTCCCCTCAGAGCCTGTAGAGGGTGTGCAGGCTGGCCGCCAGTGGCCACATGCAATCTTGCCAGCGTACCCAGCTCTGACCCTGAGCATGTCCCCAGACGCCTCCTCTCCTCCACCGCCAGCCCCAAGGCCTGGACAATCTGAATCACTCCTAGTCTCAGGACCATCTGTCACCCTGACGGAAGGTCTAGGAACTGTGAGACCTGAGCAGGACCCCACCAGGACTCCACGAAGTCCCCTCCTGCTGAGAGGGCTGGCAAGGGGGCATGCGGCTGCACCTGAGCCCGTCTTGGGGGAGCCTGACCAAGCCAGAGAAGAGTTCCAGCCATTGACGAGGCCCTGGCGGGCCAGGCTGGCTGCAGCGGCACTGGTTTTGCACCATTCCCCCGGAGAGCTGCGGGAAACGTCCTCTAGAATGGAGGTGGAGGGGCTGCGCCAGACCAGGCCTGGTCTCCCCAGGGAGGGGGCCAGGGAGCACCTGGACCCGTCATCCTCAGAACCAAGCCAGGACACAGAGGGGCTGGGACTCCCCATTCTGCCAGGGAAGGGAGGCCACATTCTCCACCCGACGGGTGAAGCAGCCAGACCTCAGTGCCTGTGTGGACGCCTCGGGACCCATGCTCACCGGGACGCCCAGGGTGAGACCAGCAGTGCCCCTGGCGGTTCTTCCTATGGAACCTCTGCCAGCAGAACCCATTCGCCCGGCAGCTCTTCTGACACCCAAAGCCTCATCTACAGGAGGGCCGGACCGGGCCGGAGACCTGGAGTCAGCCCCCAGCCGGCCAGCGGCCCGGGAGGAGTTGGGGTATGCACACACATCCAGCCCTCTGTCCATGCGAACCCTGAGCCTGTGGGCTACCATAGAAACGTCACCACCCAGCCTGGTGGAGCATGGGCACCCCTTCCAGGCTGGCCAGGGGGCCCCACCCCAGCAGGAGCTGACGGAGCCCACCTTGGCACCGAGTGCTGAAAGCCACAGGCTTCCTGAACTTCAGGACAGTGTGGAGGCGCTGTCTGAGAGGCCCCCACACTGAGCCTCCCTGGAGACTCCACGGTGGGTCCTGGGTGCACCCTGGGGAGGTGGAGGGCAAAGGGTGGGGCAGTGACAGGTTAGCCTGGAGGTGGGGGTGGGGCATCTTTCCAGGGAAGCAGTGGTGCTCTTCCAGCCCATGTCACGGGGCTCAGCCACAGCTGGGCATCCAGGCCAGGGAGTCCAGGGACACTGAGTCATTGAGAGTCACCGGGGCCATCCAAGCCAGCAGAATTCCAGCTGCTGCCATGGAAACCAGAGGAAGGGAGTGGTGACGTGGCGGGCCACCTGCCTGCGTGGACCTCCCCGAGGGAAGAGATGCTGAGGGCAGGGCAATGTCCCTGGTCTCTACCTGGCCCAGCCGGCTGCGCTTCTGGGCTTGCTGTGCGGTCAGAGGTGGAGAAGCCTCTGGGTAAGGCGCCTGCCGGGAGCTAGGGGGGAAGGCGCGGTTCCTCTGCTCTTTGGCTGTGTGACCTTGGCAAGGCACTCACCTCTCTGAGCCTCAGTTTCCTCACGAGGCAAAGGGGGATGGTCATGGCTGAGGGGTGGATGGGAAGGGGACGTAGACCATTCGGCGTGGAGCCGGACACCCAGCGCGCCCAGAGCTTGAGAGCCTCTCTTCTGGTGATCCTTCCACCGCCCACCTCCCGGCCCAGGCAGAGGGCGTGTTTGCAGGGCCCAGGAGAGGATGGAGGGCCTGAGCCGTGGTCCAGACACCTCTGGGGGTTGCTGGTGACGGTGATACGAACCCTTGGTATTTACCCCTTCCCCAGGCCTTGCGGGGCGGTGATCCCAGGTCTCTGAAGGACTCCAGGGGAGGAGAATGCGGCAACACTGCTTTGTTTTCGTTACTCACCACTCCCTTCCTCTGGGTTCCATGGCAGCAGCTGGTACCCCGCTGGCTTGGACCCTCAGTGCCCCCCTGCCCCCAGGCTCCTGGCTCAGAGGCCCAGCTGTGGCTGAAGAGCACTCACTCGGTGCTTCCCTGGAAAGGTGCCCCCCAGACCACCCCCCCCGCCCGCCAGGCCAACCCATCACTGGAAGTGGGATTTGAAATGCAGCCAAGAAGAGGAGACTGTTGGCAACGCCCGCCCGGAACGAGAAACAAATAAATAAATAAATAATCAGGGTTGTCTTGGCTGATAAACGGTCCCCACCTCGAAGAAGACTTCTCCCCCCACCTGCGCTCTCTCCCCCCTCTCCGGGCAGATCCGTCCCGGGCAAAAGCTTAATAGCCCCATTTAAGGCTTTTCCTTTTCACCACGAGATTGAGCCGCTCCTACCATTACGAGGTTTTCAGCTTCTCTCTGAAATCAAATTACTGACTCCATTTAATTTTTTAAAAGCTCAGATGATTTCCCTTCTCGAATCAGAGCCGTGACTCCAAGGCTGGCCCCCCACCAGCCCTCCTAGGCGGTTACCCTGCGGGCAGCTGCTGCCCAGGGACAGCGGCTCCCACACCAGGGCAAGCCTGACACCTAGAGGGAAGGCCAGCGGGAGGAGGCCCGAGTCTCTGGCCGTCACCCTGGACCCTGGGCTGGGTGGCCTGGGCTGGAGGAGGCCCACAGGAGCCCATGGCTGGAGGCTGGATGATCTTTGAAGGCTGGTGGGGTCGGTGGTTAGAGCCCAGCGCTGATGTCATAGGCCCACGCGGGAGAGACCCTGGCCCCCCAGTTGCCCTCCCACAGTGTCAAGTCCCTGGTGTGGGGGAGAAAGGTCTGGGGGATTGGAGACGGATAAGAAACACATGAGACAATTTCAGACGATAGATACTTCCCGCTCTGAAGAGGAGCAAGCAGGCAACTCGGGTGCAGGCGGGTGGAGAGCTGCTCTGGGTAGGAAGGTCAGGCGGCTGCTTTGAGGACGCTACTGCAGAAAGAGCGGGGGGTGGCATCCAGGCAGAGGGACAGAAGAGCAAGTGCCCTGAGGAGGGCTGGAGGGACCGAGAGAAGGCCATGGGAGCTGGCGGGGTGAGCAAAGGAGTGCAGCGAGGGGAGGAGGATGGGTCTGCACGGCTGGCAGGCCCCATCAGGAGCCCAGATTTTATTGTGGCCTCGCCGGGGCATCCGACAGGGGCCTTTGGTACAACAGGGACCTTTTAGCAAAGCAGTAGCCTTGGGTAGATGCTTGGAAAGGCTGGCTGGAGAGTGGACGTCAGAGGGACAGAGCCGCAGCCCACTGAAAGGAAAGGTGACTCAAAGGGTCTCATCTTTGAGGGCTTGTGCCACCCCCACACCTGTGTTCAGATGACGCAGGGGAAGTGGCTGGGTGACGTTGGAGACATGACGCATCTTTTCTCTCAACACTGGCTGTGGGGTTTCTCCAGGAATCAGTCTCTGTGTCTCTCTGCCTCCTCCCCTCCACCTCCATCTACCCCTGCCCCTTCTCCATCCCTGTAGAGCCCCCCAGCTTTGGGACAGGGCAGACCAAGAGCACACAGGCATGAGACAGTCTTGTAAACCAGGGCTGACCCTTTACCACGTCCCCCCGTGTTTAACAACCACCCTGCGCCCTTGGAGATGAGACAGAGGGAATGGAGTTAATGAAATCACCAGCCTTTACCTGGCATAAATGGCTCTTCACCCCCAGGTGGGCAGCGATTTGCAAGGCTGAAAGGGTCTGGGCATTAACTGTTCTGGGCACTCTTCCCAGCTCACCGCTCCGTGCAGCTGGAACAAACCACTTTACTTCTCTTCCTTCCTCTGCTTCGCTCTGCACCCGCTCAAAAGCGGGGTGGCTGTGCCTAATTAGAAAGTGCTCGGGGTTCTCGGGAAGGCTCCTATTCCCTCTCGGGATGGGACAACCCCCGCTCTGTGACCAGGTCTGACCTGGCTGGCACCTATGCCTGATCCCGGGCATGCATGGTATGGCCCCCGCCTTTGGGATGTCCGGTTTTGCTGTTGAGACCTCTCAGGTCTTGCAGTCATTTGTTTATGGCTGACACGTCTGTGATCAGTGACATCCTGGCAGGGGGCAGCTCTTTCCCTCAGGGTCAGCGGCTGCCGGGAGGTCTCAGACAGCCCGGGCTGTTCCAGGTGCTTAGACATCACTCGGTGGCTCCCCGCCTCCAGCGGCTCGGATTCTCATCCTTCATCCCCCTGAGTCCGCATGAAGTCCAAGGACAGGCAGCATCCATCATACTTTTCTCCTGCCACACGGAGCAGCTGGAGCTGGTCCGGGTTCTCTTTCGGGTGTTCCTTCTCCAGCACAAAGCCTTTCACTCCTTTCAGCATCCAGGCTTATTATTTTTCCCTAGTTGAAAGTCTTGAATTCCCAGATTTTTTTTTTTTTTTTGAGACGGAGTCTTGCTCCGTTGTACTGGCTGGAGTGCAATGGCGCGACCTCAGCTCACTGCAACCTCCGCCTCCCAGATTCAAGCGATTCTCCTACCTCAGCCTGCTGAGTAGCTGGGATTACAGGCATGTGCCACTACACCTAGCTAATTTTTTGTATTTTTAGTAGAGACAGGGTTTCACCACGTTGGTCAGGCTGATCTCGAACTCCTCAGGTGATCAGCCCACCTCAGCCTCCCAAAGTGCTGGGATTTCAGGCATGAGCCACTGCTCCCAGCATTTTTTTTTTTTTTTTAAAGAATCTCACTCTGCTGCCCAGGCTGGAGTGCAGTGGTATGATCTTGGCTCGCTGCAACCTCCGCCTCCTGGGTTCAAGTGATTCTCCTGCCTCAGCCTCCTGAGTAGCTGGGACTACAGATGCACATCATCACGTCCAGCTAAGTTTTGTATTTTTAGTAGAGATGGGTTTTCACCATGTTGGCCAACCTGGCCTTGAACTCCTGACCTCAGGTGATGCACACACTTGGCCTCCCAAAGTGCTGGGATTACAGGCGTGAGCCACTGCGCCTGGCTGCCAGATGTTCAGTGCTTCCCACAGCAGACTTTATGTCACAACACACTCTTCCAGTCTTTGCTGCACATCTCTGTTGAGTATTTGTTTTTGTTTTTGAAGCAAGAGCCTGCTCTGTCTCCCGGGCTGGGGTGCAGTGGTGCAATCATGGCTCACTGCAGCCTCCACCTCCTGGGGTCAAGTGATTCTCCCATCTCAGCCTCCCTCAGCTGGGAGTACAGGCACGCACGCCCCACCACACCTGGCTAGCTTTAAAAAGTGTTTTTTTTTGTTTGTTTTTTTGTTTTGTTTTGTTTTGTAGACACAGGGTCTCGCTCTGCTGCCCAAGCTGGTCTCCAACTCTTGGGCTCCTCCCACATGTGAACCACTGTGCCCAGCCCTTCGGTTGGGTATTTGAATATTACTTAAGCTGGAATTGTAGTTTTCAATTTGGTAATCCTCCCAGTTACTGTGTAACCAGAGAGGCAATGTGGTTGGGAAGGGCTTTCTTCTGAGATTCTGGAGGCCAGATCTGTCCCCCCAAGCCATGTGACCGTGAGCTAGTCAGTTCACTTTCTGAGCCTCAGTTTTGCTGTTGGGCTGTTTGGAATCCAAAGTGAATGGCCTAGCAACCTCTGATGCAGGACACCGGGGTCGTCCCGTGCAGATGGGAAGTTCTGAGTCCCTCATGCAGCCCGGGGAGAAACTCTCTCTTCTGAGGGTCCATCTTCCCTAGCTCAGACGCCCGACACCTCTGCGTCTCACAGGTCTGGTCTCTGGGTTTGGGGGCTGCCGGAGACATCAAGCCAAGCCAGGTGTAGGACACGATGGGACTAAATGGACAGAGGCTCGTTCCTATGCAGCCAGCCAGAGCCCACCTGTGACTTCCACAGATGACCGCCCACCTGCTCCTGGGTCCCTTCCCTAACAACCAGGTTGAGGCATTCCGCATCCCAGAGCTCAGATCTCTCAGCGGAGTCACCAAATGGTGGTTCTCAAAGTAGGGTCCCCGGAACAGCAGCTCTTCCCACCCCCACCCCCACCCCATGCTTGTTAGAAATGCAAAAGGGTCTCATACAAAAATTAGCCAGGCCTGGTGGTGCGAATCTATAGTCCAAGCTACTCAGGAGGACGAGGCAGGAGAATTGCTTGAACCCGGGAGGTGGAGGCTGTAGTGAGCTGAGATCGTGCCACTGCACTGTAGCTTGGGTGAGAGAGCAAGACTCTGTCCTAAGAAAAAAAAAGAAATGTGAATTCTCAGGCCCCACTCCAGACCTACAGATCTGGAAATTCAGGGGGTGGTGCCCGCCGGTCTGCAGGAATTAAGCCATCCAGGGGGTTCTGATGCCCCATTGTGTACATTGGGAAGAGCTGCGTGAGAGAATCCGCGAGGGACACGCAGAGAATGTCACAGCCTCATGCAGAGAATGTCACAGCCTCCGTAACAATAGCAACACGTGACTCTCGTGCACCCCCCGAGTGCTAGCCACCTCCCTCTGTTCACCGCACCCAGCACCATCCCTTCCATGGAGAAAAGAATTGTCCTTCCCATTTTACGGAGGAAGAAACTGAGGCTCAGGGCCCCGCCCAAGGTCACAACTAGCAGTTGGCTGCACCCAGGCCCAAACCCAGGCTTCCTCACTCCGACGGGAGGGCTCTCTCCTGAACACTTTGGGTTTCCAGGGCTTCTTAGACCAAGAGAGTAAACGTGCGTCACCCCCGCCAGAGAGGCATCCCCCCTTCCAGCCATCTCCCGAGTTCCCAGTTGCAATCATAGGCATGAACATCCAGGAAACATAAATTTCGCCTGGCAGTTGAGTAAGAGCTCTGAAAGGAGTTACGCGTCAGGGGGATGGGACTTTATTTCTCAATGAAATAGCCTTTTTATGGTTGGTATAAAAGTGCCAGGGGGAGCCTCACGCCAGGAAGTAGCAAGTTATTTGATAAACTCCTCCCGCCAGGGGTGGGGCTGCGTGGGAGGTGGCGGCCAGAGAGAAGTTCCCCCCATTTCCAGATGCATGTTTCTCTTCAGGTTAGCGCCGTGGAAGCCGCCGAGGGCCTCGCGGGCCACCCAGCTGGGGAAGGGCTGATTCTGGGGCCATGCCAATGCCTTTGCTCCAATACCAGGTCCCGGAGCAGAGCTGCAGTTCAGACAACGAGCAGCAGGGG